TTCGATTCATGCGCCCATGATTTATGGCACACGACCATTTACAAGAGGGCACCACCAAGACATGACATGGCTAGGGAAGGACGACAATGCCCTAGGTTCACACGCCGAGCGACCCTGCGCATCCACGACCCCACGTCGTACTTAGGAAATCCACTCTTTGGTCGGTCCTTAGAAGGGCTCGAGGCCACAAAAGGGATAGGCGCAGGGAGGAGATGGGCCCTTGTGGCTCTAATCGGTGGTGCAAAGCCACACGACCATCTCTCCCTATGTTCGAGTCATCCGCTTTGAAGTCTCCTAAGTTGACCCACTCTGGGGGAGGCATCTTGCCCTCTGGCCGTTGTGGAGGTGGTTGGGGACCAATGGGATTGATGGCCGATGATTTATGGGACGTCTCACGTGAGGCACAGCCGAACTCCATGTCGATTGGGGAGGATATCTAGTCATGCTTGGATTACCCATAGACCCTGACGAGGCACACCACTCCGACATGTGGTTACGGTGGACATGCCACTCCTCACGTGGGGCAAAACCAGGCCCACCTATTACAAGGCAACATGACCTCTCAAGGTTGGCAAGGACACAAGGGAAAATGGAGTTGGGTCCCCATGACCCCAAAAGAGGTCAGGGCCAAGCCCCGACCAACTCTACCCTACGTCCTAGGTCTCAGACCTAAGGCCTGCTCTAGAGACTCAAACCGTTAGGGTCTACGGCCTCTTCGAGAGAGATCAGCGAAGCAAAGAGGCCAGGATGACGCGCAATGCAAAGCCCAAAGCGTGATCGTAGCTCGATCACGTGGAAGAAACAAAATGTTCAAGACCTACAAGCCACCGTGTGACTGCAAAAAGCCTCGCGCCCATACGAAAAGGGGGTCGAGGACACGGTTCCTCGCATCAAATGATTTATCCGGCTACCATGGACAAAGGTGCAGCCCCAAGGGCGCATAGCAAAGAAATCCCAAAACTTAGGGAAAGCCTCTTCCCGCTTAGCACCCACCGATACAAGAACGGGCGCACCGCCCGCAGGGTGCTAAGACCAAGTGTCACCATGGTGATGCCACAACACAATCTAGAGGAAAGCACCACAGGCGTAAGAGGTGGCAAGGAACTCCTCGACAACCTCCGGACAAGAACATGCGAGAGAGGTCGGGGTCGCCGAGGCCAGAGACCACCGTCGGTTCTCTCTGAAAAATAGGAGGGAAGCGACAAAGCGCCCCCGAATTCCCAGAAACACAGATCGTGGCCGCGGGGACCAGTGTTTCAGTGACCCCGCACCTAGAGGGTCTAGAGGCTGTTGGAACCACTGGGCCCAGAAAAGCAGTCTGGTCACCTCTCTCGTACCCTTAGGCTCGCAAATTCCCTTCTAACACCAGGCATTGGGGGAGCGATCCCTGAGGGACTGCATGACCAGAACCACATGGTTTACCTCGATAATCTCTCTCTTTTCTTTCCTTCAAACTCACGCCCCTCGAATGGGTTGGTGAAGCAACTCACCGAAATGGCTACAGAACGACCAAACGAAAGGAAGGGCCTATTTATAGGCTCGAAGGTGGACCCAACGACCTTAAAACCTCTGTGCCACGTGGCGAACCGTGGGGAGTCATAGCCAACGTCAAATACCCGCGTGAGGTCAGGAAGAATCAAGATCTTCCTAAAGGCAGGAACAACGCAACGTCAATGAGAACGCTCGGCCCCGCCTGGAGCACAAACCCCGATATATAGCCCACTGACGCGATAAGGCACGACGGTCATGTGCCACGACGATAAGACGTTCTGATAAGACAAATCATAATGGCCACCCGCCGCATTGAATGCGTCAGCCCACAAGGGGTCGAGCAACAAAGCTCGAGTGGGCCACGACCATGAGCCCATGTTCTGTCCAAGCACGCACATCAACACTTTCATGATCACTTCGTGATTGCCAAAACGCTTGGGGGCTACTATCGGGGTTATGACCCCGGGGTGTCTCAACGCGCCGATTAGCTGGCAAGCCACGCGGCCTGCTACTCATTGGGTTAACAATGGCTCGAACGACCGAGGCCTAGCTAGGACAAGCATGCTAAGCCAACACGAAGGCTAGGGTCGGCCATGACCCTTCCTCCTACCTTAACCACATGGAAGACGCTCGATCTCTCCCCCGTCATGACCCCTAGGCAGGACGGGGAGAGATCGAGTGTGGCTCAGTACACTTGCTCTGACAAGAGCAGGCACGCCGCACTGACCTCACAAGGACCAAGGAGACACCAGACTCCATGGTCCGGTCAGACGCCATCTCTGTGCCACGCCGCACCAACGAGATAGCACCGCATAGCGATGGCAACGGGCAAGAAACCCACCATCTGAATATGGATCGACAGGACACGTGTACGATCCCACTCACTACGGGATGGGATCCGTGACAAGGGTCTCGACCTGAGACCTCCCTAGCTGGCGAAGAGCCCCGACCCCAACGATCGGGGTCGTGGCCCTCAGCCCCACGAACGACCAAGTGAACAATGACCCAGGGCGGCAGCCTACTACGGGTATGACATCCCAGGAAACCTGGAGACAACGGCGAAGACCATAACAGATGTCGCATTGCACAAGACGGCTGACGAACCACAGATGTGTCTACAGTGCCCGCCACAATCGGCACAGTCGCATCACATCTCATTCTGCCACAACATGGCCACAAGACCATGACGATGGCCACGCCCGCATGGACACCAAAGAAGACGTAGCTTGCAAGCCAAGTTAGCTAGGACCTCCATCAGGCTCTCGACCCTTCGGTCGGAGGAACATCCTCTTTGTAACAAGCCCTGGCCCCAAACTCTATATAAGGGCAGCCAGGGCTCCCATCTGGGGGGATCGAGACATTCTCCGTCCTCTACCATTCCATCCATAGGAATAGGGATCCTGGAGCTTCTCTTCGGGCTGCCCCTTGTCTAGCATATGTTCTACCATCTCTTCCACTATTCTTATACCTCCATTGTAAGAACTTCAGAGCATTCAAGCGAGGAACACGCACTCGATCTTCTCTGAGACTGGACATAGGGCTCCGGTCTGAACCAGTATAAATTCTTGTGTCTATTGAATGCTACCATCGTCTTCCTAAAGCAGCGCGGCAGTCATATAAATTTACTAGTCCGGTTTACGAAACACCGACACCCTGGGAGAATTAGTTTTTAGAAGAAAAACGTGAAATAAAAGCTTAATCTTTTGCACGTATATTGACTATGAGAACTTGCACCTTTGTGATCGGATCTGTTCAACTATGTGCTTCAAACACTATATTTGAGCTGCACAACCCAATACTCAATAGGAAATTACCTACATACTACATTGTATATTGACTATGAGAATTTGCTTAAACTTTTTATATGGTACATTGAATATGTGTTCTTCCCGAGCAAGAGAAGGAAAACATTTCAGTACAGCTGTATGTATCCTCGACAATTGGAGCATGCTACATGTTAACAAGGGAAGCTATAATAGTCAGTGGTGATGTTAGAGCAAATTAAATGAGGGTGTACATGTCTTATAGGTGCATAGACAAATGTCCTACAGAGTCCATATATGGTGAAAATTTAACCAAATCAATTATGTGTACAAATTTTTTTAGGGTACATTTGCACTCCTATCAATAGTGTAGCTTCGCCCCGATAATAGTCACGACGCAGCTTATAATAGTCACGCAAATATGACAAAACTGTTATTATAGTAGCTATAATAGCCATGCCGCAGCGTCACTATAATTTCAGTTCTGGTGCATCATTGCAAAGCTGGCGTCACACCGCGAATAACTCGTGTGGCTCGGATCTGAAGATTGAAGATGATGAAAATACGACGTAACATCACATCATGGAACAACGAAACACTGATTTTGTTAGCTTAGAGCGATTACTGCTCTGTGGCGCCGTGCATGAGAATTTGTACAGCTTGCCTACACCCTCTGCCTATATAAACCATGGGCGCATAGCCCTCTAATGAACTCATCAAAAGACTAGTATCACACACACTGCATTCTCCATCGCTGGCTGACCACTCCGGCAGACTCTCACAGTCTCAATGGCGCGCAGGGCTCCGGTGGATTCGTAGAGTGCCGAAGCTAATGGGGTCGGACAGAGCCGGAGGAGGAGGCCGACCCTCATTTTCATCGTAGGATGATATTAGCTGTGGAAAGTCGTGAAGGGACAGGGGAGCAGTTGTCATGGTAGTCGTGCCTGCAGCGAACGACGGAGCCCAAGCATCCGCACCACGGTCGCTAGACACGAGCCTACATCCTCTGCGACAGGAGCGGCCGGTACCATTCTTCCTCCACCGCCTCTTCTCCACCTTCTTCCTCCACCGCCTCCTCCCTCGTCGAGGCCTAAGTACGTCGTCAGTGACGGCGTCTGTCACGTCGTCCTCCAGTCCGTCCATAACAGGCCCAGTAAACAAGGAGCGGGGGCACGTGCCTCCACTCAAATTCTAAATTTCTAAAAGAAAAATTCTGATCACTCAAATATTTCTCTCATGGTTACCAAGTTTATCGCTGATGGGCTCCGCACAGGTCAGGAACTCTTTAGAGCACTCTTCGTAGGCCCAAGTTACTCCCGACTGATCCCAGTTTCAATTCAGCCCAGTAACAGTGAACAGTGGCCTTCCGTAAAAAAAGGTCTCGAAAGCCCGGAGTCCGTATAGGCCTAGCATCCAGTTACAGTATTACACAGAGCCCGGAGTCCGGTAGGAACTCCGCACTGTTCGTTTTTTTCTTTTTCCGCCGGCGGAAATCAACCTGAGTCGCCGCCTTCTCCGTTCTCGCCGTCGCCTCTCCTGCCGCCGCGCCCGCTGACCACATCAGCGCCAACCATATGTCGGTGAGTGCCCTCCGGATCCCTAGTTTCCAACCTCCTCTTCTCGTTCCCCGTGCTCCGAAACCCTAGCTTTCTGAACTCATGGCCACGCCTCATTGAGCGGCTTCGCTCCGTTGCTCGCTGCTTGCCCCCTCAGATCTTCGACTACAACGGGAGCGCCGTGGTGGCGATGGTGGGGAAGAATTGCTTCGCGATCGCCAGCGACCGCCGCCTCGGCGTGCAGCTGCAGACGATCGCCACCGACTTCCAGCGGGTGTTCAAGATCCACGACAAGCTCTACATCGGGCTCTCGGGGCTCGCCACCGACGCCCAGACGCTGTGGGTCTTCCGGATCCTCGATTCATTTTGGTCTGGGCGACGTGTCTCAGGGACGGGGCGCGTACATGGTTTAGGGTTTGTGTTTGATGCGCGTCGTTGTCTCTTTGTGCAGGTATCAGCGGCTGGTGTTCAGGCACAAGTTGTACCAGCTGAGGGAGGAGAGGGACATGAAGCCCGAGACCTTTGCCAGCCTTGTTTCAGCCCTCCTCTATGAGAAAAGGTGACAAAACCTACAATTTTTGACAGATTCAGTTATAGGCATCGTACAATTGTGATTATGTTGGAGTGTATGGAGGTAAAACACTCACTGAATGAAGGGTACACTGGCAGTGTGAACTGCAAAGTACTAATATCGTTATCTCCACTCCACATCAAGAAATTGAGAACCATTGGGCTTTTGGGAGGCCAGTAATTAAATGCTTCTCTGTGCTCTGCTGGCTGATATTAAGCTTTTGATATTTACTTATTTCTCAGTTATATTAAGGAATTGTGCGATTTCGGGTATTTGTGTGGATTCAGTCTGCTGTTTATCACTTGATATATCCCTTTTCGACTTTGCAGACCTCTGACGGAAGTATTTTGTGATATGTAGGTTTGGGCCATACTTCTGCCAACCAGTTATTGCTGGCCTAGGAGACAACGATGAGCCATTTATATGTACCATGGACTGCATTGGTGCCAAGTATGTATCAACTAATCTTCTGTTTATCTTTCTGGACTCTTTACTCACTGCTGTTACTTTCTTGTCTGAAATTTCTTTTTTAAAAATGGGCTACCTAGGAGGAACTAGTTGATTCTTGATTTTGCATTAAGAAGAAAATAAACACCCGGTTCAAATTGAACTGGACTCAACCTAGATGGTGTTTTGTGCCCGCACCTCCATCCAACTGAGATAGGCTCAGTTTCTCAAAATTCCTGATTGATCTGAACTACTGTACATTTTATTAATGTATGTATACACACCTCCACACCTTCCACCAACTGAGGTAGGCTCAGTCGGTGCATATTTCAGACTGGTCTGAAGTACGGCACACTACGTTTTTGTTAATGTACTGCCAGTATCACATCTTTTGTACACATGTTTGAGTAAATAATGTCTATTCTTTTGACTTAACCAAAATGCTATGGGTTTCACAGATCCAAAATTAGGATTTAAAAAGCATTACAAACACACAGGTTTGCCAGGAACCCCTGAAAGATGTATTATTTATTAATATATATAAAATGAAGCCTTATTTTTGTTCCCAACTGTACCCTGTGCAATAGGCCTTAATGTTTGGCCTGTTCATATTTGTTGGTTTAGATCCTATATGCTGACTTACTGTTCTGTCCTCTTTCTAATTAGTAATCTTATCAAAGTATTTCCTTTTGTGCAGGGAACTAGCAAAAGATTTTGTGGTCTCTGGTACTGCTTCAGAGTCACTTTATGGTGCTTGTGAGTCCATGTATAAGCCAAACATGGTTAGTCAATTCCATCTAGTTTGCTTATCTTTTATGTAGTCTCATTGGTAATCTTGTTCTTTCATGGATCTAACTATTACTTTTTGGAAGACATTTACACATCTTATTAATTGGATTATTTCAAACTTGTATCAACCCTGAGATACCAGTTACCATCATCGAACTTGCACCAGCAGGGTTTTTGCTTTGCATATATGGTGACCACGTTCCATCACTTTTGATTCATCCTATAAATATTTTCTCTGTTCTATATTATACCCAGTTAATTCCATAAAGATTTGCTTTCTATATACTAATATATGCCTATACTGCTGTGTTTCTTTAGTTGTATATGACGTGAAAATAACTCTCTGACTGTAAGCTGATAGTTATCGCATTAATTTTTTTGTGAAGGAACCTGAAGAACTGTTCGAGACAATCTCACAAGCATTGCAGGCATCTGTTGATCGCGACTGCCTCAGTGGCTGGGGAGGTTATGTTCTTATTGTGTAAGTTCCCTACATCTTTCAGATAATTACAATAAAAATGAATGCTTGTTCAGTCAACTCCACTGAGCGACAAGAGCCGTGTAATTAGCCAATTGGATTCCCAGTGCTAAAAATAAAAAAAATGGGGCATACCCAGTGCAGAGAGCTCCTGCTCTATGTGGGGTCTGGGGAAGGGTGTCAGTGGCAAGCCTTATCCTCGCCTGTGCAATGCGAGAAGACCGCGACTCGAACCTGGGACCTTCCGGTCACAGGCGGTAAGACTCTACCGCTTGCACCAGGCCCGCCCAATGCTAAAAATCAAACCCCTAAAAATCTAATCGAAAAAAAAAGTGGTTATGTTTTGCTGCTCTTCGGCATTAGAATTTGGATGAAGATGAATATGCCTACTCTCCATGGTTTTATAAGGTCTTGTTTTATTAATAAGAGACTTCTTTTCCTGGATGCAGCACACCCACTGAAGTGCAGGAGAGAGTGCTGAAGGGAAGGATGGACTGAGTGCTGCCATGTAGTTATTTTAGGAGATCGTTTCTTCATTCGGCCTGCCCTGTACTACGGCGTACAGAACAGAACTCATTTAAAACCAATGAACATTGATTCAGTAGTTGCTTCGTCTTTCTATGCTGTTTCTGCCCGCCCACACACACACACAGCATTTTAGAAATGCTTGGCTTGTGGCACTTCAGTTATGGCAATGGCCACCCGTTTGACCTGTTAACGGTGACATCCGTGCCGCACGGGTTTTGTCTTGGAATGACAGTTTCACCACGTTTCTTATTCGTGACACCATGCCCTAATCCTTTGTGCCAATCACTTGCACTTGCTCAACTCTTGACGTAGGCATTGGAAAGTTAAAAGAAACCACCCACACGAACGGCAATCTTTGTTGCATCAGCCTGCAGATACATTCCTGCCCTCTGGAAGCAAAATACGGCAGGAAACTGGAAACAAGTAACCATTATATGCTTGGATACGCCAATCTGGTGACGCCATGCCCTAATCCTTGGTGCCAATCACTTGCACTTGCTCAACTCTTGACGTAGGCATTGGAAAGTTAAAAGAAATCACCCACACGAACGGCAATCTTTGTTGCATCAGCCTGCAGATACATTCCTGCCCTCTGGAAGCAAAATACGGCAGGAAACTGGAAACAAGTAACCATTATATGCTTAGATACGCCAATCTGGTGACGCCATGCCCTAATCCTTGGTGCCAATCACTTGCACTTGCTCAACTCTTGACGTAGGCATTGGAAAGTTAAAAGAAATCACCCACACGAACGGCAATCTTTGTTGCATCAGCCTGCAGATACATTCCTGCCCTCTGGAAGCAAAATACGGCAGGAAACTGGAAACAAGTAACCATTATATGCTTAGATAATAATGTGTAGAGTACGTCCCTGTCGCATTACACAATCATGCTCATCTTGTTGCAGGCGCTTCTCACAAATACAAGACGGTCGGGACTTTACGGAACTTGCTCTGGCAGTCTGGCGAAAGCATTTGCGTTGCGCAGCATGCACGTGCTGTACCGTATGGAGGCAGAGGCTGACAAGGAGAGAGGAGACACGGGCTAAACGGCGGCGGCGGCAACGGTCACCGTGGTAACCACCGCGGCGTCAGCGCCGCCGCACCGGTTGAGCTGAACCTCCTGGCCGGGATGGTCGGCACAGGCGGCGCCCGCCAGAACGCCGTGCGCGCCGCGCAGCGGCCGCCTGTGGTCGTCGTGCCGGTGCCGGACGTGGCGCGGTCACCAGTGGCGGCGGCGGAGGTCGAGTCCGAGCCACCGCAGCTGTTCGCGTGCCACTACTGCCGGCGACAGTTCTACAGCTCGCAGGCGCTCGGCGGGCACCAGAACGCGCACAAGCGCGAGCGCACGCTCGCCAGGCCCCGCGGCGACGCGGCGCCAGCGCCACTCGGGCTCGGCCACGACCACATGCACGCCGCCCATGGCGGCGGCGGGGCGCCGTTCGCCGTCGTCCACGGCGCCTTCGCGCAGGCTGCGCCGGCGCTGGAGTGGAATAATGACGCACGGAGCGGCCAGGCTCCCCTGGTAGTGGTGGTGGCGGCCGCCGGCGAGCGGCTGTTCACTGGTGGTGGATACGTCGTTGACAGCCCCGGGGTTGGAGTTGGACAAGACGAGCTGCCTAAGCTTGATTTGACTCTGAAGCTGTGAGCCTGCCTGCCCTACATATACAAAATTTCTTGCTAGCTCAAAGCAGTGAGTATAGTGTGTCATTTCCTTTTCTTTCTCTTTCCACGCTGTCTGAATCCTTCAAGATATGTAAGTATTTTTGCTTTGTAATGTATGTTACCATCATTGTGAAGTGCACTGATTAGTGTTTCGTCACCAAGTTTGTTTGAGCTATGTTTGGTCATTTTCCTAGGCAGAGTACGTGCTACCGGAACTTCATGCGCGAGCATGGATCAATCTGGGGTCTGGGCAGCTGGTGACGAGCTAGGTTCTCACAGAAAGTGGGCGACCGATCGGTCGGTGGTTTTAGCTTTTGGGGGAAAACCATAAGGATTTGCCAGGATAATTACCGTGCAGTGCACTTTTATTTGTTTAATTTTGCTTTGAGTAGTATTAATATATGTAATGGAGGGTGTACCTCGGGGACATGCTTTCTGACGCACTTTGATTCTAGATTAGATGTATATATATAAGAGCTTAAGAAAATGGCCTTGAGATCGAAAGCGACGCGCGCACGAATATATAAAAATCAATACATACATGCGTGTAGTGAGGGGTCCCCCCTTGAGATTTATATTGAATTAGGAGTACATATACATACATAATAATAATCTTCATTTAGTAGATCAGATCTGTACATGCATGCGGGCGTGCACAAAGGAGCTAGGTCTTGCTTTTGTCATGGCTACCTGATGGAAGTGATGAGATCATGCACAGAACAGAAGTGGTCTCCCTGATTGATATATATTTCTGTCCGGGCAGATATATAACTTGCACTTGGATTAACAAGATGATCAATCTCCTCACTCTTCCATGCTTACAAGAAACGAACTCCTTGGACGACGGCGCACAGAGCAATTCATGAATAAAAAACTGGGCACAAGCCAAGGCATTGGGATCCTGGAGTCATCATTGTAGATCTGGGCTTGACGTTCCTGTGAGCGACGTAATTCTATGTTAGCTTATCGGATCAGATCAAGATGACGCAGGTGTACTTGTTGTTCCGGAGACAAAGACCATGCCTCGCAGTCGCAGGCAAGTAAATTATATGGTGACACGCATGCATAGTACACGTTAACGGGAAAAGAAACGATGCATGCTCATGTTTGATACTAATATATACAAATTTTGACGTGGATTTGTCCATATTATTTTTATTTATAATAAAGTATGAGTGCAATTTGTCAACCCTAATATCGGTGTGCTCTCTGTTACGTGTCTGATTGCAATTATATTGTTAGCGGTAGGCCCAGTCTTTGCGACGCAAGGTGAACGGGACATGCCGTGGTCGGGGTCGTCGTCGTCGCGGAAGAAGGAGGAAGGAGGGGAAGAAAGCAGCCGCCGCGAACGCGCTAGGGTTTTGTCGGACCAGTGAAACCCTACCGCGCTGCGGTGGGACGGTGGGCAGTGGCGGGGGCGAGGGAGCCGCTGGCCGGGGCGGCGAGGGATGTCGGTGGCGGGTCGTGCTAGTGTAGACGCGATGAGGAAGAGAAACAGCGGGCGGCGGAGGAAGATGACTAGCGCTTAAGCAAAAAAGTCAATCGTCCGCTGGCGCGACACACCCATTGTTTTTACCCCTAGTTGCAATTGCATTGCGGGCCATGTCCCGTAGTTTGACCAGGCTTTTTGTCGATTCTTCCGTGCATTAAAAGGAGGCAGCAGATTCTCAAAAAAATAATAAAAGGAGGCAGCAAGAATGAAGAATCCCTCAAAATACAAAACAAAAAAAGGGCAGCACAACCGCACAAGAAACGCGGAAACGTAGCACAAGAACTCAAGACCGCGACCATAAGCTACGAAGTGAAAGCACGCATCCAAGCAAAGCAAGCGCATCCTCCTGCCGGCCATGTTAGAATCCTCAGTGGCGTCAGTGTTGCGCCCGGTAGGCAATATGATCGACGAGGAAGCCGCCTTCCTGCGCGGCGTCAACGCCGACGCCGACCTCCTCAGGGCCGAGCTCCGCCGCATGCAGTGCTTCCTCCGCGACGCCGCCGACGCCAGGCGCCGCGGCAGCGAGCGCGTCACCAACTGGGTGGTGGACGTCCGCGCGGCCGCCTACGAAGCGGAGGACGCCCTCGAGGAGGCCGACCTCCTCGCGCGCCGTCGCGCCCTGCGGCGCGGCTACTCTGGCCTTCTCGCCTGGTGCGCTGACCTCGCCGCGCTGCACAGGTTTGGCCTAAAGATTAGGCGCGTCCGAGCCAGGATCCGAGACATCTCTGATGGCGCCGTCGCCTACGGAATCGCAAATCTCGGTGAGGCCAGCATCTCAGTTTCTCCAGAGGACATAGATGTGACGCCGCCCTATGACCTTCGTTGGGCTGGTGGACACGATGGTTGGGTTGTTGGATTCCACAAAGAGAGGAATGAGATCATCAAAGAATTGATTGATACAAAGACCCTGCAAATTTGTGTTGTCTCCATAGTTGGGATGGGTGGATCTGGCAAATCAACGCTTGCAAAAAAAATCTACAATTTTTTTTCCATTCTCAACAGCATTTTCAGGCCTTTTGTTGGTTAGTAGTCTCTCAGAAATACAGGTTCCTTGATCTTATCAAGGATGTAGCTAAGAGGATTATTGACATCAAAAGTGAGAAGAACAGGGAGGAAAGAAGCAACGATGAAGAGGAGACAGGCAAACATGGAGAGGGGACAAGCAAAGATGGAGAGGGGACAAGCAAAAACGGAAAGGGGACAGGCAAAGATGGTGAGCGGACAAGCAAAGATGGTAAAGAGAACAATCAGTTAACGATCGAAGCATTGGAGAAGATGGGCGAGGAAGAAATAAGTGAACTTCTGCGGAAGGAACTTGTGCATAGAAGGTTTCTTGTTGTGCTGGATGACGTCTGGAGGTGTAATTCCTATAGCGAGATCAATAGGATCATCAGCCTCTTTCCAGATGTTAACAATGGGAGTAGAATTATGTTGACCACTCGAGACCTAAGTGTCGCAAAGCATGTCAGCAAGAGGAATAGCATCCATCAGATGAAGCTTTTGGACGAGGGCCAGAGCTGGGAGCTGCTTGAGAAGAAGGCCTTTCAGCAGAACCAAAATTTTAGCCCCAGTGATCGGTCACAGCTGACACCTATTGGAAAGAAATTGGCTGTTAAATGCAACGGGTTGCCGCTTGCCCTTGTGGTGTTGGGAGGATATCTTTCAAGGAACTTGGACTATGACATTTGGTTGCGACTGGTTGACAATTTGGATTGGGAAGCTCGCAAGGATGATGAGCCAGTTTGGGACATATTAGCTAGAAGTTACAATGAGCTGCCAAATCATCACCTGAAATCATGCTTCCTTTATTTGGCATCCTTCCCTGAGGACCACATCATACGTGTCAATAAGCTTAGCAAGCTGTGGATTGCTGAAGGATTTGTTCCTGAGAGGCACAACCGCACAATGGAAGATACAACAAGAGAGTACACAAATGAGTTGGCCCAGAGGTGCATGCTCCAAGTAGTTGATAGGAGCAAAGTGGATGGCTCAATAAAAAGTGTAGTCCTCCACGATATTCTTCGCGATTGGGGCATCAAAGAGGCAAGCAGAGAGGGGTTTTTTAATGTTTGGTGTAATGCAACAGTGCCTGTGGTGTATTCAGATTCGATGCCATCTTACCGAATTGCTCTCCATAACTTTTCTGGCTGCAGTCAAATCGTTGCTGCGTCCATGCCAAAGTTGCGAACCTTATGGCTGAGTGGCTCATTGTCAAATGCGTTGGGTTGTTTATGCAGCCTGACATTTCTCAGAGTGCTTGATCTTTATGGAATAAAAGACCTCGAGAGGCTGCCTTCTGGTATTGGCAAGATGATGTATCTTAGGTACCTTGGACTGCAAAACAATGGCCACAAACCAATTCATATTCCTTCATCTGTCTCAGATCTCTTGAACTTGCAAACTCTTGATGTGAGAAATTCGACGCTCGGATCACTGCCACGGTATTTCTGGGATGTTCCAACATTCAGGCATATTCATCTTACTGATGTGTACTGCTGGGCTGCACCCGAGGTCGGGTGCCTTCTTCAATTACAGACATTGCACTTCTCTGGTGTATGCTTTTTAGGTGATATTGGAGTGTACCGGCATTATAAGTATAGAAGAGGCGAAGGAGCTGCTAGGAAATCAAACAAGTCGAGGGAGAAGGCAAATGACAGAGAGTGGACTCTCTTGATTGAAGCATTGCCAGAAATGAAGCAGCTCGTGTTTCTTCATCTGGAGAGTTGGTACTGTATCAGCGGTAAGAAAAAGAGGGCCATGTTTCCAAAGAGATTAATCACGGTACTCTCTGGTCATAACTGCCTTCGTGTGTTAGAGTTGTCCGGACAACTTCATTGGAGTCTGCCGATAAGCCATTTAGCCATGCTACCCTGTAACCTGAAAAAGCTCAAGCTGACCGGCTCTAAATTGCGCGAGGACCCAATGCCGGTGCTGGGCAAGCTTCTGAACCTGGTGGTGCTAACCTTGGAGTATGGAGCATACCAAGGGGAGACAATGACATGCACTGCAGATGGATTCCGTAGGTTGCAATATCTGACATTCAACGAGGTCTATGATGTCAGGCACTGGAACATTGAGGCTGGCACATTTCCTTCCCTGATCCAGCTAAATCTCATCTCCAGCTTTCGAGAGATGACTCTTCCCCCACTGGGACTAGTCCACGTGAAATCACTTCAAGAGTTGCATTTGCGTCACTGGGATTCTAAATACGTGTCTCTGCAAAACATCGAGAAATTAAGGGGAATCGGATGCAAGGTCAAAATCAAGATGCAGAAGTCGCTAGATATATTAGAAGTTCCATTGCAGTTTTATGCTTATAGTCAATATTCGGTTTTTAGCTAAATTGGGAGCGTCATGTACAGGTCAGACGCATGCAAGTTCATGCGATGGCTTCTCGTTTTCTCGGTTGTTCTACCATGGCGGGAGGCATGTCTTTGAGCTGTGGTATGGCGCGGCTTGTGCGGTGCGGGCGTCGTGGAGATTATGGCCGGGATTGTTTTGTATGTAGAGTCTTCTGTCTAAAGCAATACTTCCAGCGTCCCTCAAATAAATCAATTCATAGAGTTGTTCTAAGTCAAATATTTTTTATATTTGGCAAAATTTATAAAAAAAAATGGCATAAATATTTATAACACCAAATGATCACATTGAAAATATATTTAATGTTGTATCGAACAATACTGATTTGGTGCCCCAAATGTAAGCACTCTTTTCTGCAAGTTCAGTCAAACTTAAAAAAATTAATTGAAGATAACTCTATGAATTGGTTCATTCTAACCTTCTATGGTTGTTCCAAATTATTTGCTATTTTTATTTTCTAATGCATCTTTCTCTTTTTCGATACGCCTCTATCTCTCTCTCCTTTTCGTTTCCTATACACCATACACTTTTACTCCTCTTTAATCCGGTGTTCAGAGCTAAAATGACAAATAATATGTGAAATAATATGTGATAGAGGGAGTACGTTCAATTGATCTCAAGGGAAGACCATTTGAGGTTTTCTCGTCATGTATGTTTGCATCTCAAATAGACCTAAGCAATTTTTTTTGATCGGCCGGATCGAAAAAGTCCTGCCCACAACCATCAAGGCACGAGTTGGGTCAGGACTTTTTGGGATGGACTCCGGTGAGGCCCAGGCCTGGGTGGGCTACCCGCTGGTTTTTAGTTGGATAACAAATAAAAAAAATACTTCCAGGCAGACTCGGGTTTTTTTTTAAAAAAAAATCTGAACAACTGGACCTCTGTCTAGGACCTATCCACTAAGGCTTGCAGGCAGGCCGAAACCTGGCAGGCTTGGGCCGAGCTAGGTTCAATTTGCTCAGGTCTAGTCTCAAATCATGCGAGAAAATTGAAAGGGGCCTTTTGTCTCCTTCCTGTGTGGGCGGACGGAATTCACTTGTTTCAGTTGTCTGGGCCAACTAGGCCCACTTAATCGGATGAGCCCAGCAAGGTCGCACCCAACCGGCAGCACTGTGGCCGAAACGAATTGCAGGTCACGGGCAGGGTCTCAACTCTCAAGGCTCAAGTCAAACATCTCTCGATCTTACTCGCAAAAAAAAAAAAAGATCTCTCGATCTTCTGTTCTGGGAGCATAGAGTATGTTCTTGTATGTTATATATAAAAAATAATATTCACAAATTAAATCGGTCTTTTTTCTGTGGCTGAGATGATGTACACATCTCGCTCTACTATTATCCAAATAAATAAATGAATAAGCACGCCCTCTCTTATTTTACTACTACTACTACTTCATCATAGTACTTATTTTATCAAAGAAATATGGCACGATTTCAAATAAGAAAAATAAGAAGATTTAGTTTTAGGTAGAAGAAACAAAGGTCTTGCTGCTGCGAGTTTCCTCCCCGCTTTCCTGTGATCTGCAGTACTACGTGCTGCAGACACGGGCGCCAAGTGTGCTTGGCACGTCGGCTTGGCACGTGGCCGTGTTGTCCCTCACATCCCTCAGCTGGCCGCCGCCGACAGACCGGCGACCGGTTGTCCATTCCCAATCCCCCCTTCTCGTTCCGCAGTCCGTAGCATCAAAGGCATGCGGTGCGGCGCAGCGTGGAGTGGACGTGGGACGCCCGCCTCCCTACGTGGCCTTTTTGTTTTGGCATATACCAAGTCACTACGCTGTAGAAAAGCGGAAGGCTCAAAGCACAATTTGGGCGGCACTCGGTGCAAAGTCGGCTAGGCCGGCTTGCCATCCCGGTTGGGCCAAGTTGGCCCTGTGCCACGGACAACAATCGACAAGCAATCCGGGCTAGGCCGGGTTTTCTCCTTACACTGAGTTCTGCTGTTTTTATGTGCTAACTTTGTTGAAAAAGTTTTGTAGAGCTTATTCATAGGCATCGAAACGTCCTTTCAATTATCCCTTTGGGGTTTCTCATACAAAGTTTTTAAAGAGGCAATATCCATATAAATTTATATGCCATATCATCTATTTTTCTCCACTAGAGTTTTTAGAAGATGATATGCCGCCATATGATCAAGGTGTTTTAGACTAAGTCTTTGGGTTCATCTCAAAGGGTCAAATAACTTGTAATTATGTGAAAGAACAGGAGGGGCTTGGAGCCCCTACTGAAAATTAATTAAAATAAAGGTAAAGTATTCAGTACAGAAGTTTTAAGGAACAAAGAAGGTAAGAAAGAAAATTACAGAGGCAGCTAAGAGCATGCTAGATCTAAAATATTTTATAATCTTGTATCTATTCATTATTGAATCTTTGGGAAATACTTCTTTTTTGCTCGACATAGAAGATCGACGAGCTCCCGCTTAAAAATGCCCTTACACTCTTAATTTGAAGGCTGAATTTGTTTGAAGATGAGGTTGTTTCTGGTCATCTAGATAGTCCAGCAGAATAAGATGATAATTTCCATAAAGAAAGCTTGATTTATTTGAGCCCGAAGCCATTCTAGATTTTCTACGGGGCTTAGTTCTTGATCTGTTCTGAGCATGATGGTCTCCCAACAAGTTGTTGTAAAAGGACATCCAATGAAGATATGATGCAAGGACTCCTCCTCTTGGCCTTCACAAAGCACACAGTTAAAACTTTCTAAATCCATGTTTCTTCTTCTCAGCAAACCCCTAGTGCTTAGTGTGTCTTTCAGCAATAACTAGAAAAAGACTCTATGTTTGCTCTGATAGAGCTTCTCCATAGCCATTTGAAGGCCGGGTGCACCCAGCAATGACCACTCAAATATTTATAAGCTTTAGAGGAAGAGAAGATATAAAGCCATTGATCCTTGTCTTCAGAAATCTAAATGGAGTCTAAAAGGTCTTGTAATTGGGCAAGTTGAGCAAAGGCCTCTTCAGAAAGAGGTAGGTGAAAGAGGCTGGGAAGGTCTATTGTGTTTTGGCCTCTTGAACTGAGATTTGTTTTTTCTTGGCAAAAGAGTACAGCTCAAGAAAATTTAATTCTGGGATAGCGTCATTCCAAAGATCACTCCATAAGAGACAAGATTTTCCATCACCGACAGTCACCTTGGCCATGCCTTTGAATTTATCTAGGAGTTTCAAACAGTCTTTCCACCAGAAAGAATCTTTTCCTGTATCAGTTGGCAGCTTTCCATTTTGGTAATAGTTCTCCCAAATTAAGTTAACCCAAGGGATATCCTCTCTGTTATAGAACTTATGAAGGAATTTTAGGAGGAGGGCTTCATTCTGGGTTCTTAGGTTAAGGACTCCAAGTCCTCCCTCATCTTTTGACTTACAAACCATGGTCCAAGCAGCATTAGCTTGCTTTTTGGATTCGAGATAAGTCCCTCTCCAGAGACAGTGCTTCCTCAGTTTGTCAATCTGATCAATGACAGTAAATTGTAGTTTGAAGGTGCACATGGCAAAGGTTTGAAGAGCTGTGATCACTGAGTTTGTGAGTTGCAACCTGCCTACTTGACTGAGGAAAGATGAAGCAGCAATGAGCCTTGTTTCACACTTGGTTACCAGGTTGAAAATCAATCACCTTTGGTTTGGTTAGGCTTAGGGGAAGGCCTAGGTAAGTAAAAGGCAAATTGCCTTTCTGACAATTAAAAGTTCTTGCAAGATGTTCAAGTTTTTGTTCAGAGGTCTTGATTGGAACTAGTAAGGACTTAGAGTAATTTACTTTCAACCTAGTAGAAGACCCAAATGATTGGAGAAGGCCTTTCAAAATCACAAGTTGCCTAGCATCTGCTTCTAAGATTAACAAGGTGTCATCTGCATATTGGATGATTGTCATCTGCATATTGGATGATTAGAAAGTCCTGTGTGGATTGCAGTCTTATGAGAAGGTTAAGAAGGCCTCTCTCTTTTGCACTGTTAACAATTGATTGCAGCAAATCTGCTACAATCACAAAGAGTAAGGGGGAAAGGGGGTCACCTTGCCCCACCCCTTCTACAGTGGATGATTTTTCAAGCTACACCATTCAATAGAACTGAGGATGTGCCTAAGCTCAAAATATCTTTTATCCAGGAGATCCATCTCTGATCAAAACCCTGCCTTTCCATAATATTGATTATGGCATTATGCTCAACCTTATCAAAAGCCTTTTCAAAATCTAGCTTGAGGATGACCAGCTCTCTTCTTGATTTATGGCAGATGTGTAAATATTCCAGCGCCCATGCCAAGCAATCCTGAATAGTCCTCTTCTTGATGAAACCATACTGGTTTTTATGAATTAGGCTGGGGATAACTGATTGAAGTATGTTGGCTAGCATCTTGATAATGATCTTCATTGAAGAATTTAATAGAGAGATAGGCCTAAAATCATTTACTCTAGAAGGACCCTCTATTTTTGGGATCAAGGTGATATAGGAGCTGTTGATGCTTCTAGTGCAGAGGTTTCCTAAGTGGAAGGCTTCACACATATCATAAAAATCATGAGCAAGGAAGGACCAACATTTTCTGATAAATTCATTGTTGAAACCATCTAGATGAGGAGATTTGTCTAAGGGTAAGTCTGAGATGACTCCATCTATTTCTTCTCTGGTGAAAACATTATTCAATTCTAAAAGTTGTGCAGACCGTGGTATCAGCTGATCCAAGTTAAAAAGCATTTCTTCTTCTTTAGAAGTGCCCAAACTTCCTTCGAAGGATTCCCAAAGTATGTGAGCCTTTTGCTCATGATCAGTAAGGACCGCTTCCTGGTCATTAGTGAGGGAGGATATTGTGTTTTTCCTGTGCTTGATAGTTGCATGAGTATGAAAAAATTTTGTGCCAAAATCCCCTTCTTTTATCCACCTTATCTTGCTTCTTTGTTTTCAATAAGTCTTCTGCATACTAAGAAGAGAGACCAGTTTGTCATATAGAGCATTTCTGAAATTTCACTCAGGGAAGCTTAAATCTCTGAGTAATTCTAAAGTTT